GATTTTTAAAAGATGATGAATTCACCTTTCACACTACTATCTGATTTCAACACAACTATGTTGCAGTAATATAAAAGTAATATAAATATATCACTTTTGATAAAAAATGCAACATGATATCATGGAAAAGGAGTGGGAAGAAACCAGCAAGCTTCAACTGAAACACTGCATTTACATTATATTTTTGATATCAGTTCAGAACACAGAATGATGGTCACATTTGGCCATATACCATATCTGAGACAAATTAAATTTCTGCAATGCAGTGCTATACATCTGTACTCAAAAATTACTTCTGTTAAGTTCAGTAAAGTTTACTCTCAGCTGGGTAGGTAGAGGATTGACATCCAGAGTGTATGTGTTCCTCCTGTTGTAATTTTTACTTTAAGAGTGTTTGTCTTTCAGTGTGCATGTAAACCAATTGCATTTTCAGACATCTTCATGCATCTAATTAAGTAGGCTTCTCGTTATGAAAACTTGTGCCAAAATAATTCAATATATTAATGCCAAAATAAGCCAGTTAACTTCCATCTGGGAGTTTCTGTGCACTTGAGTTGATGTTTTTAGGACCTGCACACTAGAAATTTAATCCCGCAAAATGGAAGGTATCATACTCTGTAGGTTTTTTAACGTAACTTTTATTTTTATATAGTAATTCAGTGTATATCTTCAGTGCAGTTTTAGGTTTCAGTTTCTACAGATATTGCATTTTTTTCTCCAGGACTGTGTATTTTTTTTCTTTAAAGAGCTACTAATTGTGTAGGCTTCTGGTCAGATAGTAAAATGACAACACTAGCAGAATTAATTCATATTTTTTCCTTTGTATTTTTTCTTTATTTGTAATGACAACAATATATCTCATAATTTTGCATGGGGAGGGATGAGATAGCAAGGCCCTCTCCACTGGCTTGACCAGGACCAACTGCCGCTTGGTTCCTCTCCTCCAAGGACAATGTCTGAGTGTATCCAAGGAAGAACTGATACAGCGAGAAATTCTCAAATGGCCTGGCTAGGACCACCTGCTGCTTTGCTCTTCGCCTCCTAGAAATGGCTATGAATTTGCCGCCATATTAAGAAGATAAGGAGAACACAGAAATGCAAACAGTATGCCTGCAAAATGTTCGAATTATGCCACCAACAAGTGTTCTGTTATCTCTATATCACCCTTCAGGCATGGGGTGAGGTGACCCCCTCCCCTCATCCTTGCCCAGTGAAAACATATTCAACTCGAAGAGCAGATTTTGACTGGGAGAAGTTGATGAGTAAAGAAAGTAGTACAGATCCAAGTTTTAAGTAGCTTTGCTTTATAAACTATCTTCATGGCCTTTGAAGTAGAAGAGCAGGTTGAAGTTCAAAGTTTTAAAATATATGAATCTGCACATGAATGTTCAATACATATGGGTGATTAATTTTCTTTTAGAAGACTACGTAGTGTGAGAGAGATTTTATATGATTTACTCACATGAACTTGCTTGAAACTTGAAATCCATGTAATATATTGTAATTAACTCAAGTTAGAAAGAGTAATTCATATTTGTAAAGAAGATTTATACCTAGTTTACAGCAATGTTGTGGGAATGAACTCTGTAGTTTAACTATGTGTTGCATAAAGTACTTCCTTTTATTTCAGTAAATCCTGGATGCTAGAATTTAATATGCTAAGCATTTGTTTCAAATGAGATTTGGTTAGGTTGGTCATTATATACTGCAGCTTTTAAAACATGTTTCAAAGCAGTATCTGCCTTTCTTTCATTATATTGTCAGCTAGAATGAGTCCACCAGTGGAATGGTTTCCCCTTTCCACCTGAGCTCTCCCCCACAGTGTGACCCCCAAATCAGTTCCAGGGGCTTGGGCAACAGACCCAGATATCGGGCTCTTTTTCTTAGGCAAGATGGCCAAGGCAGATTACCCATTGATGCAGCATTCTGATATGTGAAATAAAGAAGCAGTTTATTCAATGAAATTGCTTTCATATTTGTGGGATAAAACTATGGTTCAGATGTTTTTTCTTAATTGTTAATGAAAAGAGACTTAACACTTCAGCTTGCATATTAATAGTTTAATATGTGGATTATTTTACTCTCCCTCTTTTTTCCTCCTCCCTCTTTCTCAGTTGTTCAGAACTGCCAGAGATTACAATGGGAAAGAGGGACTTAGCATGTTTGTAGGATCTTGGCCTATGTCTTAATGAACAACCTTCATGTGTCTTGTGAATGTTTAAGAATGTTTAGAAAGATAGCCATGTGATATAGGCTATCTGTAATATAGGGAAAAAACCAAAGGCTAGCAAGTGTAGGGATTGAACCTACTGCTCCCATAATGCATCTTTCAAAGTTTGCTGACTTCTGCTTCAAGCGGTGGAAGAAGAGTTAGGGCTGGATTTCACAGCTGAAATGCCAAATCTGATGAACCCAAGTGATAAGCCCAGGAGTTGCTGAGAACTAGAAAGTTTCAAGTTCAGGAGGGAATTCTGAGGAGTGAACATGTGGGTAGACTTACTATCATTAGTCCAATTATATAGTGTTAATTTAGGAGGACAGACCACACCCTGAAGACAGGTTTTTCCAGTTTGGAAGGGGAAAGAGGTATTCAGTTTGCTGTGACATTTGTATCCTTAAGCCACTTTCCCTAATAGCCAGTATTCTTTGTTCTGACTTTTGTTACTGACTTCTGCAATACTCTTCTTTTGTATCATAAAGCCAGCCTAGTTGGTCAACTTTAAAAAGATACATACTTTAGTTAGAAGCCTTTCGTTCTAATCTGCATGGAAGGAGAAGGAGAAGACCAGCTTGAGGCAATGTATACTGGGTTCATAACCTTTTATAGAGTTAGCTTCCTTGGAGACATCAATCAGTTGGCAAGGGTGTGGGTGTGCATATACCCACAGATACAGAAATGTCAATGTTATGTTCAAATGTACATGAAATATAGAAAGTACAGTCTGTGCCAGTCCTATTAAACATTAAATGTGTGTAATGAAAAGAGTAGTAATTATCATATTCTTCCTCCCCCACTTCTCTGCACACACACACCAAGCACACATGCTCTGCACTGTGTGTGTGTGTACGCATGCATGTTCTAATCATGCTTTTAGCATCATGTGTAGTTTGGTCCTGATTATGGGTTCATGTGGAACTCTGTTGTATGTGGTATTTTCTTAGTGTCGCAATTTCAACAGATTCCAGAATTACCTTTTTGTTGATGATGATGATGGTAATCTGGAGGAAATGAAACTCCTTAGGATGCATTTATGCACCTAACAGACAGTTCTACCATTTAATAGCACAGTCCTATGGCTCTCAGTTGGGCTGATTCCTGGGCAAGGGTTAATTAGAAAAGTGGATTATTGGACTGAAAGGGAAACTATAAGTTTAGACATATGTCCAGCAGAGGATAAAAATGTGAAAGTGCCAGGGGGGATGTTCCTCCAGAATGGATTAGATCATTTATTGATCTTTGTAGATACTAAATCCCCTTAAAATTATACTTTATATGCATATAGGTACAAGACTGACTCATAAGTCTTATACAGAAAAGACTTACTCATATGGAATAAGAGTACCTATGGAATGCGCTCCCCAGAGAGGTCTGCCTGGTGCCGTCATTATTTGTTTTTCGGCACCAGGCTAAGACCTTTAAAACTTATTTTAAGTGTTAATTTATTGTGTAGGATTTTAAAATTTTTAAGCCAAGATGCACCGGGTTTTAATATTTTTGTTTTTGTATAATTTTGTATATTTTTGTTTTGGTTGTAAGCTGCCTCGAGGCTTTGTCACGATGGGGGGCGGCATAAAAATGTTTTAAATACATAAATAAAATAAAATAAATATGCATAAATTATTTGTTTCTTCCTTTTTGGATAAATAAATTAAAAAGATTTACAAGTAGTTCTAAGGATTTATGCAGACTATGCTTCTATGAAATGTATGCCTGCTAGAAAGAAGGAGAACATTTCAGATGGAAGCTAAATAATCAACCAAACAAGAACATAGGTTTGGTTTCTACATTGGAATAAAAAATAAGGAAATCATATAAATGACCCTTAGAATGGTATGGGAAATATTTGAAGCTTGTGAGACCTGTATATATCTGCCGAGAGTTACTACAAAAAGAGGGAAACTGTATGAGGAAGAACATCAGACTAGTCATGGATGATTGTGAGCACGTAATCAAAATAACACAAGAAAAAATAAAACTCAACAGCAAAAACTTGAGCATTTGTCAGAATTTTAAAAATTGAGTTTAAAATCTGGGAAATTAACACAGCTGTGTTAAACAATCTTGGCAGGATATTTTTCACACTTTCTAAAATATGTGATACGATATGTGATCCAGTTGTCCCCCATGCATAATACTATAATGTGGCTATATGATGAACCACAATAGGAGAGAAGATGAAGGGGTGATGGTATAGATGTTAGCATTAGTCTGACAATTTTTGCAAAAGGAATGAAAAATGGCTACTGTGCCAACTGTTGGGATGTGTGGAATGATGAGGGTGTGAAAAAAAGTGAACAAGATAAAATGTGTAAATAATACATAAAATTATTTATCCAAATTATGTGAAGGGAGAAGTGATTCAGCCATCCTTTAGAAAAAACGGTCAATGTTTATCAGCATTAATGACCATAGATATTCCAAGAATTAAATCTGTATCATAAAAGTATGAATGAATGTGAAGGGATATAACAGAATACTTATTTTTCTTAGCAGTTTTAAAATTAAATGTATACTCATAAAAACAGTTTAACTATCATTTATTTTCTTATTGTTGAATTCCTTACATTTAATTTTTTGTTACTACATATTTTATTTGATAAAAAGATGCAAGTCTTAACATCTGTAAGTATATTTCAGTGTCATTATTGACTCAAGCTTCTGCTAGGGGATGGGGTTGTTTGTTTAATACTGAGTTAATGTAATCTTTTCCTGTTGTAAAAGAACAAGTTTGAATTGTAATTAATTTTTAATTTGGAAACGTATTTACTCTTTCATGCAGGGTTGGGAAGAAAGTGTGGATGCATCTATCTCCCATTTGTTGAAAACATGTTTGTCCAAAAGTTCTAAAGACCATGCTTTGGCATTTTCCAATCAGTTGTGTATTCCCAAGGATACCAATAGGCTGAAGAAACATATAACTTTGCTCTATGATAGATTGGCCAAAGGTGGTCGTATGTCTCTAAATACAGACCTTGATGCTCAGCAGACTACAGTTCTGTCAGGTAAGCTTTTTAATATGGATTTGTGTGCACCTAATTATAAAGGAATGAAACTTTTGGTTAAATTACTAGTTTACATGTTCTTTTAAAATGGTGATAGTCAAGGGAAATAACTCTCCTTTCCCCTTGAAATTCCAGTGTAACCACTGAATAAATATGCTAGTGGAATTTTCATGCCAAATATTTTTAGAATGGTATGTATTTCTTTGCTATAGCATTAAATATGATCCATTATGTTTTTCTTCTAACCAATAAAAAGTGGATTAGAGAATAAAACCATGTTGAGCTAACGTTTGTCTAAACTTGATCACTGACTGCCATATTTCAAGAACATAAATAGACTAATACAGAAGTTAATATACCCCAGATGATTATTTTGTGCTGCCTTCAAGCTAACCACTAAGTTCAGCTGAAAGGCACACAAAACAGGCATTTCTTCTTTGAACACTGCTGTATATGCACAGAACTGGGATTGTGGAACCTCTTATCATGAACTCTCAAAAATGGCTTCAAACTGTTTTCTCCCTGAAGAGGGCAGATGTAGGACATAGGATGTGTGGACACATCTGACAGCAACAAGGAAAAAAGGTTATTCGCTGCTTCATTTGCAAATTTTTGAGGGACTGAACTAAAGTAAAAAGCCCTGATGATCTGTTATAAAGATAGACTGGTTCTTCCCCCACCCCCCGGACTTTATTTTTTTTGACAGAAAAAAAACTATAAATACAATTACAACAATTGTAATATAACATAACAGGAACACAATAGTTAAAAAAAGGATAAATGAAAGAGTGCACCCACCATCCCAGAGACCAATACTACCATCGTGCACATACTATAACAATTAATAATATATAATATATTTCAATTATACCCATATCCCCTCAAGAAATTCATATAATCTTGATTGGGTTTACAACCTGTGCTTTCTATCAGTACTGCTTTTACAAAATTTCATTATATTCATTTGCTTTCATAAACCCTTTTTAAATTTTTATTTCTGTCGTTAGTTTATCATTAATTACCATATTCCATATTTCATTATACCATTCATGCCTTTGCAAAACCCAATTCTCGTTCCAATATTTAACTATCACTAGCCTAACTGCCATTATCAATCAATTCTTTCTTAACTTCATAAGATAGACTGGTTCTTTCCTCTATATAGACCACAGCAGATTTTGTCACTGTAGTCGATAATCATTTATTGCACTACCTTGTACATCGGTTTGGGGTAAAAGGGTTATTTTCACTCCTTTCAGAACAGACTTGAAAATAGTCCAAGGAGGCCCAGGTGCACCAGCTACTGGTTATGTATCCGCAGTGACTTACGTGCTGAAACCTCTCACTTGGATTTACCTGAACATTTACCTGAGCTTAAGGTTGTGCCTTGACCTGGTGCAAGTCTTTTATGAGAAAGTGATCGATATGGCACAACCTTTTTTGTGTTACATTTGATACAGCAGCTAAATACTTTTGGAGAGTCAGATTTTTGCCCTTGGGGATTAACTATTGTTTTCTATGTAGGGCTGCCCTTGAAGGCTGTAAAGACCGCAACTACTATAGAATACTACACCCTAATGGATATGGGGAGGGTATGAGGGTACAATTGATCCTATTATTTGTTGCACTGGCTATGAGTTCAACTCTGGATTTAAATTAAGATGCTGGATTTGACCTCTATAGGGAAGGAAATCAGTTGTACCTGAGAGCAATCTTTGCAGTCATTAGCTTTAAGCTTTGACAGAGATCCATAAGGCCTCAAAGTACCTCTCTTTAAAAAAATGCAAGATACATCTTTTTATTTTTATCTTGGATTTGAAACAGTGTGCACTAGCTATTTGTTGCTTGAATATTGCTGGCTATATGCTTGATTGGCTTATTGGCTTATTGTTAGGCTTATTGTTTAGTCTTTAGGAATCTGTAAGCCACCTTGAATGTAAGATATGAAAATGATAAAACTATCATAATATTTGTACAATTAAATATTAAATGCAGTAATTGAAACATATGGGGAAGTTATACTATGTGCACACACATTTGGAGGATGATTAAGATGCCCTCATGCCCATGTGTGTAAATTTCTCCCTTTCATAGAACAAATTACTGCAAGTATAAGCAAACTTTGACATTGACTAAGTTGCTATGTAGTTGCTTACATCTTGCATTATACTTTAGGACCATAACCTTAGGAGTCACTCATCATAGTGATAGAACCTGATTAATGTTAAAAATTTTCACTTTATTGTCCATATTGCACAGTGTTTTGCTGGTATGCAGTTAATATGGCCTATGATGGAAAAGCTCAATATTCACTTCTTCAGATGACTGGAATGCAAAAATAAACTGACTTGGATATAGTTGACAGAGGTCAGAAAAAACAGTAAGATCAGCTTAACTGGTTTTAAGCCAAGGACCAGGATGCAAAAAAAAGTAGTTTCATGGACACAACAGGGCTTTAGACCACCTTTCTCCAAATAAGTTCCATTCCTTCTCATTAAAAGCTGAAGAGTGTTTCAAAAGTAGTTTATGATATGACATGCAGGGAGATCAGCTTGTCAGAATTAAGGAAAGATCAACAATTTCACAGGGCAAATGCAAACCCATTGTATAACCCTAGCTATTTGGATCCTAGCCCATGCCATCTGGATCGTGGATGACCTCTCCTGTTAGTGGCTTTACCTAAAGGATATTTTAAGGTTCTGCGTATGCGAAGTAGCATGAATTTAGTTAAGCAAAAATGTTCATAGTAGCAGTGTGCATTTTAATGAATAGTATAGAGTGCAAAAAAAGTTTCCATAATGGTCTTTGGTTAATTCCATTCACATATTTTTAGTCATGCTGATGTTAGCCTTGAAACAGTGCTTTTACAACTGTAATTCATGAAATTTAGAAGGCTAGTGTTAGTATAGTTATTGAGAGAGGGGTGAAAGATGTTCAGAAGCCATTCTGTCAATGTGACGATAAAGATCTTCAAGTCACATCAGTGTGTGTTTTATACTGTGTTGCCTTTGGCAGCATCTTAACCAGCTGGCTTAGGAAGGAAGTAAAGGGATTTGAGGAGCTCCGCCAATCATTAGTATGGGTCAGGGCCATAGAGGTTCCACTGAAATGTGGTTTAGACCACCCTGGTGACTCCTAGTGGGTGGCAAAACATTTTTGGTAAGTGCAAGTGCTATGAATGAATTCTGTACGTTTTCTTAGTAGTAGTATTTTCTTTTGTATTTTTTGAAATGTATGCAGTATATGGCAGATTCTAGAACTCACCACCATCTGATACCTGCTAACTGGGGAGATTCATCTGATTTTCAGGCTATTTGAGGGCAATTTGGGTACACGAGTGCTACATTAATCAACTTCCTGAGCTCATTCTAATTGGGGTGAAAAAGTTGTCTGAAGGGTGAATTCAGTTGCAGTCCCCAAGCATAGTTTCTCAGGAACTGGTAGACTCATAAAGTAACTTTCTTGCCCTCCTCCATGAAAGGTCCTGCCTGTTTTAATGAATTGGAGGATTACTCCAAGATCTTTAGCTTCTGTAAAGCCTTTCTTTCAATGCCTTATTTTTGTTTACAGCCAGACATAAAATCATGGTATGAGTATTAATTTTACAGGTGACATATACCCTTTAGGTATTTGCTACCTGCCTGTTTGATCTAGTGCCAATTCCTTTATATGGAATTGCTTTATATATTGGAGATCAGTAGATATCTAACTGATTTACTCATACATGTTTTGGAACCTATAAATCCTTTCAGCAGCATTGCCTCTCAACTGTTCTGGCTATTAAGATACTTGTCCCTCCTTCCTGATGCTAGTCAGATATTACTCCTTGGGCATATGAAATAGCAAGAGGAGCAAAGGAATGCTGGGACCTATTTCTGGAGAGCAAACTATCTCTCTTGAACTACATACCTTAGAACTTCCAGTATATGTGTGCTCTTCCTGTTCTAGAGGAGGGCCCATACCAGTGGGTTACTGTTCTTTTCAGACACTGCTTTTAAACAGCTCCAGCAAAACTACCTTACATTTATGCTGAGAAAAAAGCCTGCATAAACATTTTAAAGGATGAGGACAATTCAACTTCTACTTTTTCTTCATAATGATGGGTTTTGTAGACCAGGTTGAACCCCCACCCCCACTTTGGGCCTCTATAAATCATCCCCTTCTCCTATTTTCATGTTTTGCAAAAATCATTTGGGATATTTCATGAAGCATTCTTGTTTCTATTATTCAGTTACACACTATTGTGTAGCTGGTAATAATTACAACCAAAAGTTACAAAACAAAACAAAAAGAATACCAAAACTAATAGTGAAAAAAATCCTAATGTTTGTAAGGCAAAGTTCAAAAACAATTTGAATTTGAATCTTTGAATTTTAGATTGTACAAGAGGTACACTTGAATGCATTTCTGATGAGTACTATATAAAATTAATTCATTGTTCACCATTGCATGGAACTTTATCAATGAGAATTTGACTGAAAGGTATTAAATAGACATCCTGTTGAATAGATAAATGATTCATTTACAAACACATTAAATCATTGGGGAATGATATCTTATGTAGTAGCATTTTACCTCGATTTCCCTGTCATTTAAAACATCATAACTCTAGAAATGAATGTACCTCACATTTCCTTGTGATTTTATAGTTATTAACTTTGTAATCCAATTAGTGTATTGAAGTGGGGGTTGATTACAGTTTTAGATATCCCATTAAATAAAACAAGAGTTGGTATAGCAAGAATTAAACTTCTATCTCAGCTGCAGACAGTTAAGCACAATTTAGCCTCAGCCATAAATATGGCCACTTTGAAGTGGAGCTGTCCAACTGGTAAGTCCAGGAATCCACTGCTTATATCCTCACTGGGGCCAGTAAAGGGGGAAAAAACTCCTCCATGTGTAAACTCTTAGTCTTTTATGACTGGGCTACTTCATTAGCTTTCATTTTCTGAGGATGCTATTAGCTTTAAAACATTTATGATGGTGACGATGATGATTAT